GCCCTTCCGGGGCTTCCTGCGGCGGCTGCTGGAGTTCGTCAAGTGGCGGCTGCGCGTGCAGCACGTGGTGCAGGAGAGCCCCCCCGCCTTCCTGAGCAGCCTGGCCCAGCGCGTGTGCATCCAGCGCAAGCCCCTCAGGTGCCGGCCCACGGGGGGCGGTCCCTGCGGGAAGGGCTGACCACCGATGGCCTGGGGTCACCATTTGCCCGTGTCAGCAGTGAGTGGAAGGCCAGGGGGCGTGTGGGACACGAGCTGGTCTAGTGGGGAAGGTCCATGGCGAGGTCGAGCTGGCCCTGGGCTCTGCCGACACCGCACGCTGGCCCAGCGCATTTGCCCGGAGAGAGTGTAACTGTGACCATTCACGGGCCACCTGCGTGACCAGGGCGCTTGCTTGTAGGAGCTAGCCAGGAAGGAGCTCGGAGCTGTTTCACCCCAGCCACAGGGCAGGGGAGGAACTGTGAGAATCAACTGGACGGGGCCTGAGGGAGCCCCTGGTGGGGGCTAGACCAGAGCCCGAGGCCCACAGGACGGGAGCTGGGGAATTTGCCCGGCCCGTCGGTCTCAGGTCTGTTCCCACCAGTGCCTCTCATCAGCACCCCCCCAGTCCCCTGTGCCTTTGATGGGGGTCCTGTCCCCCAGGGATAGGGCAGGCGGAGAATGGAGCCAGGGCAGGAGGCCTTCTGTACTCTTCCTTTGCCATTCCGGATAAGACATCGTCATCTCTGAAGGTCTGTGTCCTGCTGTGTACGGTGGGCAGGGAGTCGTCCTGTGCACTTAGTGGGTGCGTGTGGTTAGAGGAGGGGGCAGGAGGCGTGAGACTCGGCCCTGGGCCCAGCGGTGAGCTGAGCCTTTCTGCTCCAGATGAATCGCTCCCCAGTACAGGGTCCCTGTGCTGCAGATGGACCCCAAAGCTCTGGGGACAGGGCCACTGTCCATCACACGGCCCTGTACAGGGTGGCCGTGACTTGAAGCCAGGCTATAGGACCCCTCGGCGTGATGGCCTGTCTCTCAGATTGGAGACGTGTCAGGGCAAAGGGAGGGCCCTAGTCTCTACATTCCCCAAGGCCTGCTCTAAGTGGGGACACAGTGGCGACAGGATGGCCAGGGTGGCCTTCACAGGGCCCACAGAGGAGACATACTCATCCCAGATGGTGACCACCAGGGAAGGCAGGGCCAGGGTGGGGTAGTCCAGGGGGCACCTCCCTAGCCTGGTGGGGAGAGGACCGGCTCGAAGAAGCAAAGTTGGAGAGATAGCTGCTCGGTCTTCCCACCCGCCTGCTCCACGCTGGGTGCTCTCGCTGGTCCCCTCTCCCTTTCCTCTGGGGCCTGTCTGTCTGAGGACATTCTACTCCTTGTGAGATGAGGGCACGGTGTCACCGAGGGTGCCCAAGAGGCGGTGTGCGGTGCTGGGCAGCCAGGGCCGTGCGTGCAGGGTTCATGTCGCGGCGGCGAGACTGTATGGTTGTGCTTTCTTTTTTTTTTTTTTTTTTTTTTAACTTAAAAAGGATTTTATTTATTGAGGGCAAGAGGATGCAAACAATATAAAAGTCAGAAGCTTATCTGGTATTTTATTCACTTCTCTCTCTCCGCTTGTCAAATGGGAGTCAGATTTTCTTTGTACATTTTCTAAGGGTCCTGATCCGCTCATGAAACCCTTATACGGGGGGCTGCAAAGTGGGTTCCTTAAGTGACCCAGAGGGAGAGCTCCGTAGCAGGGCGGGGGCGGTACTCTGCCTCCTCCCCTGCTTCGTGTGTACTACAGAGTAGCCGTCGCGTGCCGTGGCCAGGCCTGCAGTTCGTGAGAAAAGGCCCTGGTCCAGGCCCTTCGTTATTCTGTCCACAGCCAGAGGGTCTTTTTTTTTTTTTTTTAAAGCCTTGATTCTTTTTTTTTTTTTAATATTTTTTTTTTTTTTTTTTTTTTTTTTTTTTTTTTTTGGAGAGATTTTCACTATAGGGCGCGTGCGCTCGCCAGACAGACAGAGAGGAAGTGAGAAAGCAAGCCACCAGATTCAGGACTCGAACCCCGGTCGGCCATGTGGGAGTGTCCAGCGCCTTAACCACCACGCCACCTGCTGGTCCCCCAGAGGGCCTTTTTGATTTTCCAAAAGCCCTGGGAACTCCTTTTCCATGAGCACTCTCAGGCCCTCCTTTGTCAAGTAGCCTTTGTCCCCAGCAAATCTGAAATGTAAAGAGCACGGTCTCCATGGCACGCTCCATGTGAGATGGCATTTTGGTGATATCTGTTGAAACCTTGGCGGGCAGGCAGATGTGGATGCCGGGCAAGCTGGGGCGCGGGGCGGTGACTATGGTTGTGCGGCTTTTGACCAGAACCTACACGTGAGGTCATGTGAGTACTCGGGGCAGTGACCACGTGACTCCGGATGTGCCATCGTGTAGCGGCGCCTGTTACCTGGGAGACAGGCGTGTGGCCATGTGCTCTGAGGGTGGCTGGTCCCGCTCGTGTTTCCTCTGACCCTTATGTTTGCCGACCCCGTCTCCCTTCACCAGATTCTGTGCCGAACGCCTCCGCTCCCTCCTGCACACCCTGGAGATCGCTGACCTGGCCGACTTCTCGCCGCTCACCCTCCTTGCTAACTTCGCCACCCTTGTCAGCACCTACGCCAAGGGTGAGCTCACTTATTCCTGCCTCGGAGGGTTCCCGAGGAGCCTAGGGGGTCGTCGATGGGACTCGGGCACGCAGGGCCTTGCAGGCTGGTAGTTTGGGCTCTGCTTTGAAGGCACTGGGAAGCCACAGACAGCTCGTGAGCAAGTGGGCCTCATGCTCGGGTTTTCACCTCACAGGCCCCTCGGGCTGCAGGGTGGAGGAGGATGGGGTGAGCCCAGCACACAGTGTATGGCGTGGGAAGGAGTTAGACCGCAGAGCACGGGGGTCCTGTCAGATTCTGAGCAGGGGAGGTGCTGGCTGGGATTTGTGCTTCAGGACGATATTTCTGGAGACCAGCCAGCAGTACTGCAGTTAAGCCAACTGGATCCTATATGGGCAACTTTATGGTTCAAGTTCTAGGCCCAGCAGCTTAAATCACGCCAGGCCCGCATGTGTGCATGCCCAAAATCCCAAAAAAGAGAGAGGAATGGAAGAGAAGGGACTGTGACATATTTCTCCCTCTCGTGAGTGATGTGCCTTCTGGCAAATTTAAAAAAAGAAAGGGACTAGAGGCAGGAGACGAGGTGGGGCCAGAGACCCGACCAGGAAAGGGGGAGCCTCAGCCAGGGTGAGGCTGCGGGGAGGGTACGAGATGATCTGGAGAGAGACGAGTCTGGAAGAGGCCGGGCTGTGGGGAGCCGGCCCTGGGGCTGGGGGCCGTGGAGAGTACAGAGAACGGGCTCAGGTTTCTGACGTGCAGGAGAGGGGTGCACCGAGGTCACTCTCCCCGACCACGGCTCAGTCTGATCCCCCGGGATTACTGCTCTAGCCAGGAAACCAGGTCAGGCCTGACGGGCTGCGGCTGCCCGGGGCCCTGGCAGGAGGACGGAGACGCCCCACCCCCCTCGCGATCTGCAGCGGGTCCGTGGATGCGCCATCTGTCTCCCTGTCTCCCCTCCCGGCCTCTGCCGGCCCCCATTCCCATCTGCCGACACTTCTCACTCTTCCCCGGGAGGCCCTCCCCACCACCCTCACTTCCATCTACCCTCCGTCATCCTTCAGTTCTCTGCTCAGTCGAGATGTCTCCTTCTCCAGGAAGCCCTCCCTGACCCCTGGCTGAAACAGGCCCCCTTGTTTGGGCTCCTCAGCCCCAGGCTCGCTCACTTTGAATCACTACAGTGTGGGAACAGGTCTGTCCCCCTGCACTGGGGCCCTCTTGGTCACTGCTGTAGCCACACAGGGCTGGGCATGGAGGACTTTGGTTTTTTTATAAAGTGAAACTGACTATGAATTCGTACATTCATTCATTCTAAACAGCACAGTGGAAGCAGGAGGAACCAAAAAAGACCTCGTTCTAACCCCCTAGAGCTTACATCCCAGAGGGGAAACCAGTAGCAAAGCTGTGAACCAGCTCAGGGGGGAGACAGTTCCAGAACGTGTGTTAGCCATGCAAACGAGTGGCCTGCTGTGTCGGCACGTGCTTGCCGTAGTCGGGGTGGCCGGGGAAGGCCCCTCTGAGGGGCTGTCACTTACTGAAGTCCCTGACGACCTTGGCCCAGGAGGCAGGACCAGCAAGTGCGAAGGTCCTGGACCGAGGGAACCTGCTGGGTTTTTGTTTTTGTTTTTGAGGGTGAAACTTTTTATTTTACTCTGATGCTAAAGTTTAAACAGAAAAACAGCCTTAGGAAAGTTTAATTTTAATGAAGTTTAGCTGTACACTGATTAGAGCCAACTCTGAGAAGAAATATTGATAATTGGAGAGGTTTTTTTTTGTTTGTTTTTTTGCTACAGAGAGAGACAGGAAGTGAGAAATCACCCCCCAGGGGGGTGGCCACGCCACAGTCCTTTCTCCTCCATTCTCTCGGGATCTTGGGCACGCATGCACTGGCGCCCAGTGTGAGTTTAAGCCACCGGGTCCGGGACGCGAACCGCGGTCGACTACATGGGAGTCCAGCGACATAGCCATTATGCCAACTGCTGGTCCCAAAATGTTGATAATTGGATATCAGGTGCATGATGGCTGGGAAGTCCAACATCCTGAGACGTGTGTCTGGTCGCATGTTACAATGTGGCTGCTGTTCCTTTTCTCTGCCAGCCCCTGGAGACATGGTAATTTACTCCCCTGCTTTGTGGAAGAGAAAGGCCATCTGTCCCCACCGTCATCAGTCAGTCCGGTTTATCCCAGGCATTTCCCTTCATAGGTTCACAACTCTTCAGTCTCAAAGTGGGTGAACTGGACATTTAGTTAACGTGTTTACATATATGATGTGTTTACATACATGATGCAGAATTACGCACCAGGGCTCGGGAGAATCGGACTCATTTCTGACTCTCCCTTCCTTCTCTGTGCCACCCACACCCCAGACCCCCACCATGATACCATCTGCTGGGGTTTTTTCAATTTTATTTATTATTTTATTAGTTGATTTGACCAGAGAGAGAGCGAGGAAGTGAAAAAGAAAGCCACCAGGTCTGGGGCTAGGACCATAATCGCCCATGTGGGATCCAGCACCTCAACCTTTGCGACACCTGCTGGCCCCTGGGTTTTGTTTTTTGTTTTTGGAGAGGTTTTTGCTATAGGGTGCATGCACTCTCCAGAAAGACAGAGAGAGACAGGCAGAAAGCGAGAAATCACCCCCCAGGGGGGATGGCCATGCCGCAATCCCTTCTCCTCCATTCTCCTCTCGGGATCTTGGTCACAGACACACACGTGCCTGGCTTGAGTTTAGGCCACCGGGTCCAGGACTCGAACCGTGGTCGACTACATGGGAGTCCAGCGACATAGCCATTACGCTAACTGCTGGTCCCTCCCTGGAATGTTGTTAAGTCAGAGTCTAGCTACATTGCGATCCTCCTGCCTCGGCCTCCCTAGCAGTGGGGACTGTGGGCATATGCCACCATGTCCGGCTTGTTAGGGCAGCCAGGAAAGGAACCCAAGCTTCCTGTGTGGCCTCAGCCACAGCCAGGACTGGAGGCCAGTCAGGAGGCCAGCGAGCAAGCAGGAAGAGGAGTGGCCATGGCTGGGTTCCACAGACGATTCAGGACCCAGGAAGACTATGGGGAGCCGTGGTAGGCGTCCCAGCAGGAAAGGGACATAAGTCACCTCAGGATGTCACAGGGCCCTCTGGCTGCTGGACCATAGCAGGGGTAGGTCCAGGCAGGAGGTAATGGCAGCAGACCAGGGTGGGGCTGGGGTACGTAGTTGGGTGGCAGGAAGGCTCTGGAGTCAGAGCTGCCCGCCGCGGTGTGCAACGACTCAGGATGGGCAAGAGAGGGCTGAGACCGCCTGGTCCTGGCCTGGGAGGGCGTGAGGGAGGATGCATTGGCCGCGGTTGGGATTGCCCGTGCGCAGGGATGGCCCTTCAGAGAAGCAGCAGCTTAGTGTATATTTTGGACTCAGATGCCAAGGTGGGGCTTGGGCACTGGCGTTGGCTCGTGGGGAGTACGGGTGAGCCACCTCCCCGTGGGTGGGGCTGTGGCCAGTAAGAATCTCACCGGCCTTCGCCCACTCCGTAGGTTTCACCATCATCATCGAACCCTTTGACGACAGGACCCCAACCATCGCCAACCCCATCCTGCACTTCAGGTGGGACGCTACTCCGGCGGGATGTGAGCGGACCACAGGGTGGGCCCAGCCCTGCTGGCCTGGCCTCACCGCCTCCTCTGCTTTCACAGCTGCATGGACGCCTCGCTGGCCATCAAGCCGGTGTTTAGTCGCTTCCAGTCTGTCATCATCACATCTGGGGTGAGGACCCCTCCCCGGCCCCGCCCGGTTCCCAGCCCTCCGCTGTCGTGCTGAGATCCCCTCCTTCTGTCTCTCTACAGACGCTGTCCCCACTGGACATCTACCCCAAGATCTTGGACTTCCACCCCGTCACTATGGCCACCTTCACCATGACGCTGGCCCGGGTCTGCCTTTGCCCCATGGTGAGTGGGACAGGACGGGCGGGCAGCACCCTTGCCCTCCTCGGCTTTCTCCACGGCTCAGGTGGAACGTCTCCGCTCAGCACGGGTTCTGGGCTCAGGCCTGGGCGACTCCCCAAGCTGCAGCTCTCTCAGCTGTAAGACAGGAGAGCACCTGATCTCCCAGGGCCGCGCAGATTTAAGGGAGGCCTTATGTAGCCCAGGGCCTGGCCAGCGGAGGCTCTCATCGTGGTTAACAGGCCCTGGCCAGGTCGTCCAGCTGCAGCCTTTGTAATCTGGTCTTCCCCTCGGCCTGTCTCCTCCGTAACGTGGGCCCTTCACCCCTATCTGAAGGAAGCTCTGGGGCCACATGTGCTTTGGAACCCAAAAGTTTCTAGACTTCAGAAATGAGGGACCAACAGATGGCATAGTGGTTATGTTGCCAGACTCCCACATAGTCGACTACAGTTCAAGTCCTGGACCCAGCAACTTAAAACTTGTGCCGAGCACGTGTGCATGCATGCGTACCCAAAATCCTGGGAAGAGAATGGAGGAGAAGGGATTGTGGCATGACCACCCCCCCGGGGGATGATCACTCGCTTTCTGTCTCTCTCTCTCTCTAGAGAGCATATGCACCCTATAGCAAAAAATCTCTTAAAAAAAACCAAAAGACAGAAATGAGGCACTGCTACGTGGGTGTAACAGCCCTGCAGGTCCTGGGCCCCTTCCTCCCGACTCATGTTTCAGCAGCAAACGGTTTTGAAGAGCCACGTGGAGGGGAAGCCTCTGAGTAGATCAGGTCAAGGTATTTTGCCACTGAGTTTTTGCCAAACTTTTAAAACGGATTTTGGGGAGCTTTTTTGCCAAAAGGCCATTTGGAATGACCCTCAGAGGTTGTGGAGGGGTGAGGCCCCCCACCACACCCCACCCCACTGCATGGTGGTCTGGAGAGGGTTGCCGGTGGGCCTGCGAGAAGTGTTCCGAGCTGACCCGCCTGGAGGCTGGGCCAGTTAGAGTGTAGTCGCTGGGCAGGAGTTGGCACAGACTCGGGTTCCGTTCTGTCTCTGCTGTTGATTTGCTGTGTGACTTCGGGCAGGTGCCTCACCCTCTCTGAGCCCAGGCCATTGGTGCATGTAAATAACAGGTAGCTAAGGGTTCGTTTAATGACATGGTGCCCGTGAAAGCTGAGTGGCACCTGCCGGAGCTCAACAAACACACCTTGGCATGGTGGCAGCTGCTTATACCCTCTCTTGCTTGCTCCAGATCATCGGCCGTGGCAATGACCAGGTGGCCATCAGCTCCAAGTTTGAGACCCGGGAAGACATTGGTATGCACCTTGGGGATGGGTTCTGTGGGTTCCAAGTGGGCGGTGTATCAGTCAGATGGGTTCTTGCGTGCTGTAACAAACATTCCCAGATCTCAGTGGCTTGCCACAACAGGTGGGATCATAGTGAGTGTGGTGAATTGTGTACTCCCGAGGGTACTCACCCGGAAGTGGCACGTGGCCGCTCCTGTCCTCATTCCCTGGCCATAGCAAGACATGGCTATGCCTGGGCCACAGGGTGGGAGGGAAGGGTCTCCCATGGCCTCATGCAAGGAGAGTGGGAAGAGTGTGAACAGCCCTGAAGAAGGCCTTGGTGGGACTTCTGAGAAGCCCAAGTTCAAGACAGAGTGGGGAGGAGGACCCAGTGAGCTTATGAGAGGGGCCAACCTTTGACCCCTGGCAGCCGTGATCCGTAACTATGGGAACCTCCTGCTGGAGATGTCCGCTGTGGTCCCTGATGGCATAGTGGCCTTCTTCACCAGCTACCAGTACATGGAGAGCACCGTGGCCTCCTGGTATGAGCAGGTACGCCAGCCCCCACCCCACTCCCTGTGAAGGCCTCTCCTCAGCTCTCGGCGCTGTTCCTGTGTGGTGGTTTTGTTCCTCTGTGTTTTCAATGGTGACATGTTTCCTACGTGACAAGACAGTGTGTATGACACATGAACACACCCTTGTGCCCTGACCCCACCACAGACATTAGCCTCTGTGGGCCCGTCCCTCAGTGGGATATTTCACTGCACAGGGACCACGCCTCAGCTCCTCAGCGCCTCGTTCCTGCACTGTTTTGAGGGTTACCCCATGACTATCCACACTGGGTAGCAGAGGTGACTCTGGCTGGGTGCTATGCTGTTGAAGACTAGGCTGAGACTTGGGGCAAAGACGTGAGAGTTTGCGGGACCCTCTTCTATGAAGTGAGTGGAGGAGGCCGTGGGGCATTCCGGGGACAGCTCTGGGTGACTGACAAGATGGCGTGGAAGAGGAGGCCACTCTCTATGTACCTTCTGCCCCGAGCACACCTCAGACCCGCTCTCCAGGGGAGTTTAGGGCAGCACTTGTTTGGGGTGAGATGAGTGAATTTGGCTAACCCAGGCATTGGAGAATGGCAGGTTTGGAGATAGAAATGTCATCTCTTTCGGGCAAGACATTGGCCTCGTCCTCGGATGGAGATGGCTTGTTAAACAGTGGGAAAGATGGCTTCTAGCCATGTGATCCCCATACCTTGAGTGCCTTTTGTGTCCTATTCGAGTCCTTTGGCTAATCTAAGGTCACTATCGAAATAGTCTCCTGTGTTTTCTTCTAGAAGCTCTGTGGTTTTAGCTTGTGCATCTAGATATCTGGTATCTCAGATTCATCTGTGTGTGTGGTGTGAGGTAGGGGTCAAGGTTCAATTTTTCCACCCAATATGGAAATTTACTTGCCCCTGCACTGTTTATTAGAAAGAGCTCTCCCCGGGACCAGCAGTTAGCGTAATGGCTATGTCGCTGGACTCCCACATAGTCAACTGCGGTTCCAGTCCTGGACCCGGTGACTTAAACTCACGCCGGGCGCGTGTGTGTGCGTGCCCAAGATCCCGAGAGAAGAATGGAGGAGCAGGGATTGCGGCGTGGCCATCCCCTCTAGGGGTGATTTCTCACTTTCTGTCTCTATGTCTCTTTCTCTGTCTGGTGAGCGCACGCGCCCTATAGCAAAAACCTCTCAAAAAAAAAAAAGGAAGAGCTCTCCCCACTGAATTGCACAGGTGTGTGTGTGTGTGGGCATGTTTCTGGACCCTACCTGTTCCATGGGGTTTGTACCTTGCATCTGTCCCACACCGTCTCTGTTATAGTGTCATATGTGAAATTTCCGGGCAGCCTCTGATTGGCTCTGCCAGGCTTAGTCAGCTCCTCTGCCAGTTTCTGGCAGTGGTAACCGAGTGACCTGGTTGGCCACTTTGGGCCACATGCCCGCCCCACTTATCTGGCAATGATTGGTTCTCTTCCCAGATGATAAAGTTCCCCAAAAGGATCAGATTAGACCCTTTCATCCCCTCTTCCCCATGTCTCAGATGGGCAAGCTGAGGCCCAGAGAGAGACGGTCGCTCATGCAGGAGTCTGCAGAGGAGGGGTAAGGCAGGGTGGCCATGCCTGACTCCATCTGCCAACCGCAGCCCGCCTCCCCGGTGTCCTTCCCTAGGGCATCCTTGAAAACATCCAGAGGAATAAGCTGCTCTTTATAGAGACCCAGGACGGGGCTGAGACCAGTGTGGCCCTAGAGAAGTACCAGGAGGTGGGTACAGGGGTGGCGCCGAGAGAACTGCTGGAGAGGGCCCAGGTGGCGGCCGCGTGACTCAGTGCCCTGCTCGGCCTCTCCTCCCCAGGCCTGCGAGAACGGCCGGGGGGCCATCCTGCTCTCAGTGGCCCGGGGCAAAGTGTCCGAGGGAATCGACTTTGGTGAGTGAGCAGGCCCCGCCCCTCCGGCGTCTGCAGAGGTCTCTGGGACTCTGCCCCCAGCCATGTCTGCGCCCTCCAGGGACCACCACCTACAAGCTGGGCACATGGAGGGTCCATCCCCGCACACCTGGCAGGGTGCCGGGATTGGAGGGTCCTCCCTGCCCCTCCATCCCCGCACACCTGGCAGGGTGCCGGGAGCACCCCCATCCCCTCTGAGCAGCACCGTAACTGTCCCCGCCCCGCCGCAGTGCACCACTACGGGCGCGCCGTCATCATGTTCGGAGTCCCCTACGTCTACACCCAGAGCCGCATTCTCAAGGTGCGCAGCGCCTCTCTGGTGGGCAGGCCCGGGAGCAGACCGCGATGGTAGGGCCTTGAGGGTTTGTGGAAGGGGCTGGAACGGGGAGGAAGGGGCTTGGCAAGGACTCCTGCCCTCACCTGCAGGCGCGGCTGGAATACCTGCGGGACCAGTTCCAGATCCGCGAGAATGACTTCCTCACCTTCGACGCCATGCGCCACGCGGCCCAGTGCGTGGGGCGAGCCATCAGGGGCAAGACAGACTACGGCCTCATGGTCTTCGCCGATAAGGTGTGGGTTCAGGGGCCCCGGCCTCCCAGAGCCAGCTGTTTCCCCATTAGTCTTCCGGTCAGATGCCCTCAGATCACGCCCCATGCCCTCTCTCCTGCCTTGCTCAAAGCGCTTCGCCCGGGCCGACAAGCGGGGGAAGCTGCCCCGCTGGATCCAGGAGCATCTGACAGATGCCAACCTCAACCTGACCGTGGACGAGGGCGTCCAGGTGGCCAAGTACTTCCTGAGGCAGATGGCACAGCCCTTCCACCGGGTGAGCACTGCTTGCTTCCCTTCGGCCCCAAGGCTGAACTCTTCCTACAGGAAGGGCCCTTGGTTTCTCCCCACTCCCCCAGCCTAGCCTGAATACCTGCTTTCCTGCCCTCAGAGAGAGATGCCAAGAACTGGGGGACATTCAGGGCCCCCCACAGTGCCAGTAGGTGGCCCAGTAGCTGTGCAAGGACAGGGAGCCTCTGGGAGGCAGGGGCGAGGACTGGGGTGAGGAGGCAGTGTGCTCTCTGGGAGGGGGCTTGGGCAGGCTGGTGGTCTCTCGGCCGCCACCTCCCTCCAGCCTGCCCTGTTCGTGGACCCACGCCGCGCGTTACAGGGACGGTCCAGACCTAACATCTGGTCCTAAAGGCCTCCTGTTCCTCCTGGCCCAAGAGGCGCGGACCTGTGTCCTGGCTGGGTGTTGGGAATGCGGCAGCCGTGGGCCCTGGCCCCCTGGCACTGCCCTGTCTCTGTCCCCCCAGGAGGACCAGCTGGGCCTGTCCCTGCTCAGCCTGGAGCAACTGGAGTCGGAGGAGACATTGCGCAGGATCGAGCAGATAGCGCAGCAGCTGTGACTCCGGGGTGGAGCCGTGGCATGGTGGCTGTGACAGGGCCATAAACGCACTCTGACTCCCGTGTCTGCCGGCCCCGTCCCAGCTGGTGGCGGGCCCCGGGGAAGGGCCTGCAGAGAGCTGCGACAGATTTCCTCACGGCCAAACCCACAGCCTTTAATACAGCAGGGGAGGGCAGCAGGGAGGCCCAGCCCCCCGGGGGCCCCCTTCCCTCTGCCCGCCCCACCCTTCCTGAAAAGCTGTGTCCCAGGTGTGCGGTCGCCCTCAGCGGGGGCTCAGGTCCTGGGTGCTGGCGCTGAGGGTCCGAGGGGCCTCGCCCAGGTGCCGGCTGGGAAACTGCGGACGGACGCAACGGGCTGATTGGAGGGGTGAGGGGCAGCCACGGCCCTGCTCCAGTGGCACTGTGGCCGCTGCCCACCCCATGGCCCCTGTACCTGGTCTGGCCTGGCAGCCAGCCTGTCCCTCTCCTGCCTCCACCCAAGTAAGACCCATCCCCTCTGTCCTGGGTGTGTTCCAGCACCAATCCGGCCCCAGCTGGGCAGCTCCACCTTCCCGACTCTGGGCCTGCCCACATGGCCCCTATCCCGCCCTTGACTGGGTGTCCTCCGGCTCACCTGGGTCCCGGCAGCCCTCTGTCCGTCCATGTTCAGCATGTTGAGTGACACGGCTCTCTTCATCCTGGACGGAGGGGCCGAGGAGGAAATGAGGGGACCCCAGGACTGCGGCTCCCACCCTGGGACAGCCTTGTGGGACTGTGTCTGATCTGTATATGTCACGGGCAGGTGGGAGCCATGGGCGGTTCTTGAGCAGGATGGCGAGGACGTGGGCTGCCAGCCTCAGGGCTCTGCTGAGCTGATCCCACACTCACCCAGCTGCTCCTGCCAGCCCCTCGCCTCGGAGCCGGGAGACCAGCTTCTCACTTCCTCGCCGGATAGACTCGCGGAGCTTGGAGAATGAGCTGCTCCGACGCAGGGCCTGGGAGGGGGAGGGCGAGGGCGTCAGGGACTCCCGGTCAGGGTCAGTCCCCAGCCCAGTCTGTGCAAGCCCCAACCCACCCGGAACCAACACCAAGGCCACCCTCACCTGCTGTTCTGTGTCACCAGCCGTGGCTCTGTTGGGGGCTGCTGGGGGGACAGATGGCACAGTTGAGGTGGGGACAGCGAAAAGCCCCAGGCCGGGTGGAGGGTGGGGGTGCTCACCGAGAGGGGCGGGCAGGGCCTCCCTGCTGAGGATCTCCTTGTACAACTCCTCCGCCTGCTGGTACTTGTTCTGCTTCAGGTAGGCTGAGGCCTGTGGGCAGGGCAGGCTCTGGTGACCTGGCCCAAGTCTGGGAGCGCCCAGGGACCCCAGTTCCAGCCCTGCCTCCGGTCTCCCCTGCTCACGCCCTGGCCTTGCCTCCTGGCTCAAGGCCTACCCACAACCCCGGGGAGGCCTCAGCTTAGAGCAGAGTGGGTTTGGGGTGTCCACTTCCTGCCTGGGGACCTCGGGCAGGTGACTTCCTGTGTCTGAGCCCTTAGCTAACTGCTGCGTGGGTCACGGGCACAGCCCCCTTGAGCCTCAGTCTCCTTGTGCTCAGTGGGCAATGCGGTCCTGCTGGGGTGCTCCTTTCAGGTGTATGGGGCAGGTGTGAGAAGGGGCCCCACGGCCTGAATAAAGGGGCTCCCCCTCGCTCTGCTGTTGTTTCCTTTCCCGATGCTTCTGGTCCCCACCTCCCCTGTGTGTACCCCCAGCACACTCAGGGGCGGGAGCCGGCAGGTGGGCACCTCTGAGGGCCTACCCCCGGTAACCCCGCCTGCGCTCAGCCAGGAGTGCCCTGGGAGGACCCCACCAGCCCGCCCGCACCCCGGTAGCCTCACCAGGTTATTCTTGGTCTTGGCCACGTTGGGGTCGTGGGGCCCGCCCAGCGCCTGGTAGATGCTCAGCGCGCGGGCATAGTGCCGCTCCACGTCCTCGAACTTGCCCTGGTTCTGGCAGAGCAGGGCCAGGTTGTTGAGCTGCTTGGCCACGTCTGGGTGGTCGGCGCCCAGGACCTGGGGTCAGGGGTCTCAAGTCACCAGGTTAACCAGGACTGGTGGGCCATTGTCATTGCCATGGGGGATGCCAGTTAGGGACCAGGCTGAGAATGCCACCAGGGTGAGGTAGGGGCTGGGGATTAGTAAGGTCAGGGGTCATGGGGTACAGTGTCAGATGGGCGGATAAAGGTTGGAGGGTGTACCGGCAGTCACGGGGGGCGGAGGGCAGGACCAGGCTGGGGGACATCTGTGGTCAGGTCGGGAGTCCAGCTCAGACAGGCTCACAGATGGGGGTCATGGGACTGGGTGATGCAGGCTCAAACTGGGGGCTCACGGCATCAAATAGAGGGGTCAGAGGCCACACGGGCGGACATTTGGGGGGTGGGGGCGAGGGAGGACCTTCTCTCGGATCTCCAGGGCTCGCTGGCACAGGGGCTCTGCCTCCCGGTACCGGCCACGTTTCCCGTAGAGGACAGCCAGGTTGTTGAGGGTGGCGGCCACCTGAGGGCAGAGGCACAAGTTAGGGGGCAGGTGTGGCCGCTCCCCGCTCCCTGGGCGCCCACTCACCGCGGGGTGCTCGGGGCCCAGCGTCTGCTCCCGGATCTGCAGGGCGTCGTGGAGGAGGTCTGTGGCCTCTTTGTACTTGTTCTGGTCCCTGGGGGGAGGCCATGGGGATGGAGGGGGCTGCCGGCTGCATCCCTTTGGGGTCCCTTGTAGGTCTCCTCATAGCCCCCGAGTCTCTAGCGCTGGTCTTGAACCCCCAGATGCCTGTCGAGCCCCTGGCCACTCCCAGTCTCCCCGGCCAGTTGTCTCTGGTGCTTGCACTCAGACCCCTGCCTGGATCTCCGTCCTCTCGGGCTCCTTGCCTCCCTCCCTGCACCCCAGGGTGCCGTGTGTGCAGAGGAGATGCTGCCGTCCTCCACCCCCACCCAACCACGAGCCCTCACGTGGCCGGCTGCGGGCCTCACCGGTACACCAGCGCCAGGATGTTGAGCATGGTGGCCACGTCGGGGTGGCAGTGGCCCGAGCTCCGCTCCAGGTCCTCCAGGGCCTGGCGGCACAGAGGCACGGCCACCTCGTAGCGGCCCTGCCCCGCGTACTGGATCACGAGGTTGTGCAGGGTCCGAAGGCGGGCGGGGATCTCGTAGCCGCCCTGCTGAGCCGCTGCTGCCCCTGCCGCTTCGGGACCTGGGCAGCGCGGGCACCGGTCACTGCAGGCCCGCCCTTGGCCTCTCAAGGGGACACACACCCCAGAGCCACCGCACTGCTCCACCTGGCCTGGGCTGACTTCTGAGGTCGGGAGCCCAGGCACCTAACCGGCCTGGGGTGTGAAGACAGCTGCCCACCATGGAGCGCGGCTCACGGGGCCATGGCCACCGCGCCCAGCCTCCCTCGCAGCTTCCAGCCATGCTTCCTGAGAAGCCCGCCTGCCCTCACCCGCAAGGCCACCTGCGTCATCCTCCCAGCTCTGCCCTGCCCTTCCCTGCCCCCGCTCTGAGACCTTGGGGTCCGGCAGATCAGGGCTGCCCCCAGCCCTGCTGTGCTCCCTGGCTGTGCCCCCACACCCACCTTTCCTCTCCTCCTCCTCACTGGGGAACAGGGAGGCCAGGCTGTCTCGGCGAGGGGGGGACTCAGGCCGCTGCTGGGAGGACAGGAGAGTGGGGAGCCGTGAGGGTTGGGGGCTTCAGGGAGGCAGCAGGGGTCTCGGGGCTCTCCTAGAGGGTGAGAGGGACCTGGGCTTTGTGCAGCAGCTACAGGGGCGCCTGTGGAAGTTCCGGGGGGCCTGGGGATTTGGGGGCTCTGGAG